TTTTTGTGTTTCTTGGCCTAACTGGTTGACATTTTTCCATTATAGGTGGCTTAACAATCATCAAACCACCGGGGATCTCCCCTACGTACGGCTTTGGCAAAGGGTTTAGTACTTCCTCATATGTATTCCTCTATGTTTTAGTATTTAAGCTTTTAAAGCATACATCGAGCAATCATCCTAATTGTTGACTGTTAGCATTCTTATGATATGACCACAAGGTATGTCGTCAAGTTGCCACTGCCTACATGTACATGTCATTATCCGGAAATCAACTATGATGTTTTGTCTCCCATTTTTGATCTCGTATTTCTGACTTGAGATCATGTGAACATCCTAATTAGTAAAAGTATTTTTAACCTTTTTTACAATTTCATCGGCCCAAAAGGTGAGTGTTGTTGCTTCCGCTAAAAAAATGATAAACATACAGTTAAGATCAATATCATTTTACACAAACATTAATATTATGACTTAATACCTGCAAAGTTATGCATTTGAAACCACCACTGTTGCATTGTTGCACATAAAAAAATCTATCAATATCAATATCGACACCTTACGCGCATGTCTAGATAATGCATTTATAGACTTCGCATTGTTGGACGACAAAAGATTGTATCGGTTTCAATGTGCCTTAGACCAAGTTTCAGGATTTATACTACGTAAGTATTCCCATATTGCATCTTTAGTCCTTCTCATTTTGTCCATGACATCATTAAAAGTATCAACTATATAGGCTCTACACCACCCACTTTCTTCAAAGCTTCTGCATTTCTTCACAACCCCTGAACCTCTCCGGCACCACACAATTATTCACCACCACCTACACTTGTTTCCATATACAAATCAAACTTGTATTTCGTATATGAAAAATCATGTCCATAACAAACCCAACAAATTAAACCTAGATTCATAACCAATATTGAAATACAAATTAAACCTAGATATGTAGCCAAATTTGTGCTTAAACCTATAAAAAAGTTCATCGGAAAATACAAGTTAAGTAGTTCACCATTTCCACATAGTTGTTCGTTTGATCAGACATATTCTTGATCAGAAAGAGAAAGAGAGTAACCTAAGGAAACTTTTTTTTGGGGGAGGGAGAGAGAGAGAGAGGTCCCTTCTTATTAAATAAGTATTTAGATTAAAAAAAAAAACAGAAAAATAAATACTCAATGGTATTAAAGTAATTTCAGTTTACGGATGGACAATTTCTACATACAAACTAGACCAAAATCACCATAAAGCCAAAAAAAGTCGAGGTTTGGATTTAACTTCGGGAAAAAATACATACCACAAGAACCATTTTTGCAAATTTGTCATTAAATTATTAAAACCAATGGAGTATCTTATCATTTGCACATGTATTCTTTTGGTTATAATTCTTACAAGTTTTTGTACCGATCATGTTCTTCGAAATGTTACTTCGACAATTGGTGGATAATTAAATGAATCCTAATTAAATTAGTTTAATTATAATATTTAATTTTAAAAGGATAGTTTAGTAAAATCACATGGTATTTTGAATTTGAAATAATTTTTAAAATTTGAATTTGTTTAATCCTAATTAAAATATGAATTTTTATATAGATTTAAAATTTGAATTTGTCATTGACATAGATGGAATTTAAGAGTAGTTACGATTAAATTAGATTAGATTTGTTGTTTAAAAAATATGTAAGAATATAAAAATAAAATTTAAATTTTATAAAGATATGAAATAAATTTCTCTATATTTTAAACTATTTGCAACATAAAGCTTGAGATAGACGTTCCAATGACTAAATCAACACATTTGAAAAACTTTAAAACATAATTTAACACGATTTGAATTCAAAGAACTAAAGAGCTACAAAACCAAAACTTTAACAACAAAGTTTTATACGGATATTGGTAATCTGAATACCGAGCAAAAATCCAAATTTGGGTTCAGTTTTTCTCTTAATCGTAGTGGTGAATATGATGTGAATTTAATGAGGAAATTATTGGAGTCTAAACTGAATCCTTTTTAAAGGATGATTTGGTGGTCAAAGATAATCCCTATGAATGTGTGATGTTTTATATGGAGGTCTGTGTTAGGTAGAATCTCAATGGCTGAAACCTTGGTTGTAAGGGGATAAATACCTCCAGTACCGTATGCTTTTTCTATAATACAGAAACTGAAACGGCTGACTATTTACTCATTACTTGTGGCTATTCTAGAGTGGTGCAACATTAGATATTCAAATGGTGTTGATTGGAAGATATTACGTTCTCAAATGTTAGAGAATTCATTGACTTCGTAGGGAAAACTGTCTTAAGAAAAAAGAGATCTTAACCACAATGTTCTATTGTCTTGTTTGGAACATTTGGATATCGAGGAATGACAAAATATTCAAACATATTGGTGTAAATCCTACAAGAATCGCGGATAATATAATTTCGCTCTCGTACATATGGTGCAGGCATCGATGTGACATTAGTTGTGATAATTGGGTTGAATGGAGCATTTCGCATTTCACTCATCTTTCATCTTAATTTTCATGTTTGCTCATTTGGTCTTGTTTTCTTTTCTTATTTGTACTTGGTCTCATTGTAGCTTCTCTATAAGAGTGTTCCTCTTAATAATATCTACTTTTTCTATTAAAAAAAAAAAAAAACAACAACAACAAAAAAGTTTTATCAATAATTCAAATGTAGAATGTGTGAGACAAAATTGCAAGAATGGTCTCTGTAGTATGTCAAAACTAGCATGTTTGGTCCAAAATGGGTTTGGCTGGCAAGGATGATCCAAAAGTTTGATTTTCTTGCGAGTTTGGTCCGTTTCATAATTGGAAGTGTGTAAAATGACCTATTTGCCCTCTCTATTTTGTTTTCCCTTTTCTTTTTATTAATTTTAATATTTTCTGATTAATAATTAAACAAAAAAGAAAAGAAATACAACTCTACCCCATCCAACTCCCTTTTTATGCTTCCAACTATTCTTGACTGCATCATACTTTGTTTCAAGAAGATGCAAAAAAAGGAACACATAAATACTGGTCTTGGAGCTCTCGGTGATTGAGTTTCTTCTTTTTCTTGTTTGGTTCCTCTTGGAGATTTATCATCTGGAGAAGGGGATCGAACCATCGACTAGGGTTCATCCGAATGTGATGATGGTTGTTGTCGTTGAAGCTGTTGTTGCCACAGGGATGTTGTGGCGAAGGAAAAGCGGTCCTCGACCTGCGAAAAGATGTGGTTGACTAAGGGCGACAAATCGAGAAAACAAGAGAGGTTGCGATCGTTGTCGATGATGTTTCGTTAGAGGTGCTTTATGGGGGAAGTGACATCTCAGAGGTGTTTTGTTGGGGTCGGCGGTTGGTAGCCATAGACGGCTGGTGGTGGTTGAGTTACGACTGTCGGTGGGGTTTTTCCAGTGGTAATAGTGGTGGAAGAGTAGCTGTCGGAGACCATCAAGAAGATGTGGGTGACCGGTGATGTTTTGGATCATGTCACCGGAAGCAGGGGCTTGGATGCGTAGGTTGGAGGAGGTGGTTGGTTGCGATGTTATGGCTCCGACGGTGGGAATGAAAATTGTTATCGGAATTTTGTTCCAATAGATTTGTAGGTTTCAAAAGAAAAGAGAGAGAAGGGGAAACGGGGAGACCATTTTACATACTTGTATCTATTGGAATCGATTTTAGGCCATGAAATTGTTGTCTGATTCTGTATAATAGTGGGTCTCGATTTACTCGATTTATTTGAAGATAGATTTGAAGGTGGGTCTCAGTTTATCTCTATTCTTTGTTACCATATTAGCCAAACAAGGAGACCCCCAAAATACAAGGTTCTTTCATCTGGTTTTGAATGTTTTATGTACTTAAAAATTGTTGAACATTCATAGATAGATAGGTGTAATTGAGTTTTGAATTAGATTTTGGTTATGAGTGCTAAATATTTGATGATTTCGATCGAATAAACTTTTCTTTTGCAAGAATTTGAAACAACAAACAAAAACAATTTTTGATTTTTGATTTTTTTTATAGTGGTGGCATCCGGTAGTGGTGGTAGTGGTGGTGGTGGTGGCGGCGAAGGGTGTTGATGGTAGTTGTAGGTGGTGGTTAAAGAAGGAAGTGGTGGACAGTTCCAATAGGGGGAGAGAGAGAGAGAGAGAGAGAGTGTGTGTGTGTGTGTGTGTAAGAGATATATCTTTCTTCTTTTTTGATTTATGTAATAAAAAAATTGAAAAATAGGAAATACCAAGGGTAAATCTGTCATTTTAAAAAGTTTCAAAAATTTTGGACCAAACTTGTAAGAAAATCAAACTTTTGGACCATTCTTACGAGCCAAACCCATTTTGAACTAAACATGCTAGTTTTGACATACCACATGGACCATTCTTGCAATTTTGTTAATGTGTGATAAGTGAACTTTGAATTAGGGCTGTCAAATATGTACCATGGAGAACCAACCAACATGCTACCAACCGAACCAAGATAGTTGGTTACCAATATGTTCGGTAGCCAATATGTTTGGTTGGCAGTATCATACCAATTTAGTAAATTTGGTATGGTAACGGTATTAAATTTTAAATACCACGGTATTACCGTACCAACCAATTCATATATATATATATATATATATATATATATATATATATATATATATATATAAACAAAATCATATTTTCCTTTACAATTTAAAAAGCTTGATATTAGTCATTACACTTACTCAATAGTTATTACCACATTAAACTAAAAAACTAAAAAGTTAATAAAATTCTTTAGTAACTAATATATTTACTTTACTAATTTATATTACTAGACAAGAAAGTTGTCTCATGTTGTCATTGCGGATTTTTAACTATTACAATTGAAAAATAAATAGAATTTGGTAATATCCTGTTACCAATCTGTACCAACCAAACTTGTTGGTAGCCAAACAAGTTGGTACCAATTTTACTTGATACGGTACCGATAGCAAAAAAGTTATACCAAATAAAGTTGGTACGGTACAATGTTTGACGAAAAATAAATTGATACCGTACCATGTTCATCTCTACTTTGAATAGCTCATATGTCACCACGGCCAATAAAATATCCATCAATTTCCAAAAATAAATAATTCGATATTCTATAACACCACCCGCAAACATGTCACCACTGCCAATATCCACCCTTATCCCCTCCACCACCATTCCCACCGCCGTATTTCCGCCAAAGTCCCCGCAATCGTCACCACTTTCCGACCCCAAACAACCACGTCATTCTCATTCTCAAACTCAATCCTCGTCTTCTCTCAGCCTCGTTCCGACCACCCGCAGAAAGGCTGCCGCCGGCGTCATTCTAACATCCATAGTTTCACTCATCCATTTCCTCCATCAACCTCCTGTCGCCACCGCATTCTCCTTGGGCATTTGTACGTGAACTACGATTCATGCTCGCTTCTCGATTACTCCATCGTTTTTTCGGATCAATTTGTCTACTCATTGATATGATATGTTAAATTATCTCAGCAGGACCAAAGGATTGGCTGAGAGAACAAAAGAAGAAGGCATCCAAGTATCTATTAGCTCCGATTGATGCCTCTCGCAACAGTCTCCAGGCTGCATACCTCATAATCAGTACTGTTCTGAAATTGGTTAATTTCTTCGGTATCGATTAGATCGAAGTTGAATTTGTTCTGAAATTGATTAATGTGAATTGTGATTCGCCAGCAGCTAGTGGAACTTCACCGGAAAAAGACTTGGAAGAAGTTCGACGGCTGCTTATATCGGCTTCTAGAGACTGTATTCCTCAGGAAAGGAATTCCATTGTTACTTTTCAATCAAATACTGGCGTTGAGGTTTTTCTCTATATCCCTAATTCCTTCCCTTCTAACAAGATACTTAGAACTATTCATCTCTCATTATTACTTTCAGTTTATAAAGGGATACAGCTTTTGATTGATCCGCCATTTTTAATAGAATACGACCTTCGTTTTCTTTTCTGCTTGCAAATTGCTTATTATAAAGGCAATTAAATCATCATATTTCAACTTGCAGGTTTGCACATTCAAATTGGTCCTAAAAAATGCAGCTTCATTGCTTGAAGACACTGATCCAACAAAGGTGGAGGCTGAGGTTAAGCTCACTGATCTTGAAAGGTACTTCAGAATGATTATTTCTTTTCTTGAAAGTGTTCAAATGTTCATATTTCATTTTTCAATTAGTTTCTTTTTTGAGAAAGTTTGTTACTTTCTTCAATTTCAGGTCTCTTAGTTCTCTTAATACTGTTGCAAATGGTACTTCCCCTCGGCTTGTATCTGACAGGTATTTCTTCAAACATGTAATAGTGAACAAATGAACAATTCTCGAGTTTTGAGAAAATACTTTGTTTTTTTACTAAAATCTAACAAAAAGTTAAAGAAACATAGCAAATGGAAAGTATAAACGATACAAGGGCTTAAAAACAAACATTTGATTGAAAAACTGTGATATTAAACACTTCAAAAATAACCTTTTTGAAAAAGAAAAAAAAAACTCCAGGATTTCAAGAACAAGTCCAAAATAGGGCATTATTGAAAAAGTAGTTATTTTTCAAAAAGGGTTTTATTTTTTTTGGTTATTTCTTTAAATTGGATAAAAATATAGTTAGTTTAGTTAATACCTAACTAGTGAAGTACATTGTTATTTTCTTATACATTACTTTTATTCTCTTTTTCTACAGACAAAAAGTGGCAGATGCATTAATGGACACCATATCTTCCCTTAACAAATTCGAACAGGGTGTCAAAGATTGTCTTGAAATTTGACTTATTCAATTACTTTCTTGAATTTTCCTCATGTTTTCAAGAAACTCTTAATACCAACGTTCACGTTACACTTGTTTCTTTCTTGTGAAAACATTATATTATTTTTATTGAATCACATCAACATGAACACCAACTTAACAAACCTAACATAAATATAAAAACTTTGTATAAATATAAATATAATAAAAAAAGATTCACCAAAGAGTTGCTATTTAGTAGATTTTGTGAACTAACCAATAAGAACGCAATCTAATTTATGAATTTCCTTCTAATCTAGCTTTACCTTCGGAACATAAATTCTTTATATAACACACAAACCAACAACACATTATGATTATGTGGGATTTTACATAATATAAATTCTTTATATGGGTTATATGTGTAATTGGGAGAGTAGATATCAATTAGAAAAGAGTGCCAAGTGCCAACAATGTTTTGATTTTTCAAGTTTGCAACACTAGAGTGTAACAATTTATGATATAAACTTAGCATTTAATGTATGATTTGATGGTATAAAAATGCCTCAACTCAACATTGATATTATATTATTTGTTTGTTTATTCATTATTGTGGATAACATTATATCTTTTTCATTACTCCTTTAAAGAATCAGATGAACATCAACATCAACACCAACAAACCTAATATAAATATAAAAACTTTGTATAAATATAAATATAAATATAATAAAAAAAGATTCACGAAGAAATAGTTTTTGGTGACCCAGAAGCTTGCACCAAATACAACCGACAGCAAGGCGTTCCATCATCGGGGTGGTTCTGAAATGACCTCGGTACCCCTCGCAACTTATTAAACAAATTAAGCGGATCATGCAACAACCCGTAATCAGCATCCGGATCCCCAATTTGGGAAAGATTCACCTCAGAAAACCCTAAAGTCGGTAGCAAATGATCAGGCCAATCACTGTAGAAATGAAAGCTGTTAGAACTCGAAAGCGTTGTCGATTGTTTATTCATGAAATCGGCTAACAAAACGGTTTTTGTGAGGCTGCAATTGTCTGCTATTGTTTTCAATACTCCCATGGCTTGTGAATGCGGGAGATAATAGATGATTCCTTCAAGAATCCAGACTGTGTTTTTCTCGGGGATGAAGCCTGATGATTGAAGCTTTTTGAACCAGTCTTCTTCTCTCATATCTGCTGCTATTCTTGTGAGGGATTTTGATTGTGGGTTTATGGAGTTGTTTATTGCGGTTTGAAGTAACGTCTCTTTCATTTCTAGGACTTCTGGGAAGTCTATTTCGTAAACATCGCTTTCTTTTAAGCAGCTCAATCGATATGCCCTTGTGTCCATTCCTGTATGTAAGCAGACAAAATAACATGAATATTGTCCAAATTTATATATTTTTTAAATATACTTTAGTGTTAAAAGACTTAAATCTATAAAGTATGTTGCCAAGTTGTTGTTATACCAGTAAAATAGTTAGTGGTTAAATTGATAAAACAGGAAAAATAAATTGTGTTTTTAGTATTTACAATAAACAATGGCCTTTTAGATCATCAACTCATAGGGGTGTTTGGGACAAGGAAAAGTTAGTAAGTCATAAGATAAAAAATGTTTGGCGATAAAAAAATGTTTGAATTAGTTTTTGTAATGGGAAAAATTAGTAATTCAATAAGTTCAAAAAATATTTGGTTAGCTATTATATGTAAAATGATCCAAAAATGATTTATTGATTTATGATTTTTTTTTTAAAAAAAAATCAGTTATTTGTAACTTCTTTAAACATGTGTTTTCAACCTTATCAAGAATTCAAATTGAAAAGTCTTTTTCTCCGGTTTAACATCTTTTTAATTTATTGGCTTTTTGAAAACCCTAATAAATTAATAAGTTGTTTCAAAAACCAATCTCAAATACCCTTTTAATACCATTTTCTACATCAAGTTGATAATAATTGTATAAAATGAATATTACTTATTAATATAATTAACTTTTCGATTTATTTAACTATGTTTTTTTTATACATATCTAGATAACGAATTTGTTGGAAGTATTTATATGTGACCATTATCATCTGCTATAGCACGTTATAATGGTCATATTTAAATACTTTCAATCAGTTCGTTATCTAGACGTGTATAAAAAAATAGAACGAAAAGTAAGAGTAAATTACACGAATGGTCCCTGTGGTTTGGGGGGATTTGTAGGTTTGGTCCCTAACTAATATTTTTAACTCGGATGGTCTGTATTGCTTATTTTTGTTGCATGCTAGGTCTCTGTCTTACCTATAAAGACTATTGTATCCTTATTAATTTATTTTTTTAATTAATTTTCTTATTTATGTATTTATTTTTTTATATATTAAAAAAATTTAATAGACCTTATATATCTATATCTCATAACCATAAACTTGAAACAATATTTGAAAATTTTAATCTGGGGGATTTGTAGGTTTGGTCCCTAACTTATTTTTTTTAACTCGGATGGTTCCTATTGTTTATTTTTATGTGTGCTTGGTCTCTATCTTACCTATAAAAACTATTGTGTCCTTATTAATTTATTTTTTTTAATTAATTTTCTTATTTATGTATTTATTTTTTTATATATTTAAAAAATTAATAGACCTTATATATCTATATCTCCTCACCATAAACCTGAAGCAATATTTGAAATTTTTAATATGGGTATCACCGGTCACTATCTCATCTCTTATCATCCTCAACTTTTATTTCATTTTCATCTTTAATGACATTAATGTCTTCACAATCCCTTCTTTTTTTGGCCCGTCAACTTCGGCGAGCCAATACCACAACCCACTAAAGATGAAGAGACAATTAATTATGGTGTTACTTCGCTAGAGTTGAAGGACTGAAAAAAAAGATGCTGAAGACATCGATATCACTGAAGATTAGAAGGAAATAGAAGTTGAGGAGGATGAAAGATCCATATTAAAATTTTCAAATATGGTTTTAGGTTTAGGGTAAGAAGGTATAAATATGTGTGGTCTATTATTTTTTTTAAAATATATAAAAAATAAATACATAAATAAGAAAATTAATTAAATAAATAAATTAATATGGACACAATAGTCTTTTTAAGTAAAACAGGGACCAAACACGAAAAAAAAAAATAATAAGGATTATCCGAGTTAAAAAAATAAGTTAGGGAACAAACGCACAAATCCCCCCAAAACACAGGGACATTCATGTAATTTATTCTTACTTTTCATTGTTCATATTTGGGTAACTATTTTTTTTATACACATCTAGGTAACGAACTTGTTGAAAGTGTTCACATATGACCATTATGACCTGCTACATCTAGGTAACGAACTTGTTGAAAGTGTTTACATATGACCATTGTGACCTGCTGTAGCAGGTCATAATGGTCATATGTGAATACTTCCAATAAGTTTCTTACCTAGATGTGTACAAAAACATATAATTATCCAGATATGAACAAATCGAAAAGTTAATTATCTTAATAAGCAATATTTTTTTTTTATTCTGTATACATTTAGTCATTGAAACTTTTTGTTCACATTTGACCTCTTAACATTTTTTACACACATTCGGTCCTTATAACCAGCTAGTCTAGGTTAAGCCGAAAAAATGATTTAATAAGGTAATATATTTTTCCAGTTTATACACATTTAGTCTTTAATGTTTTTGTACACATTTAATCCTTATAAACAGTTTCTTTGGGTTGTGCTCATGACATCCTACATAGGATAATCATTAAAAAAGTGTTTTTATATGTGGCTCGTTCCTCACTTATATCAGTAATCTATTTCACGAATCGATTAAATAATGTTGGTGCTTTAGTTTTCTCCAAGTAAAAGATGTCTTCGGCTTTGGTTTCATCTATTTCCATAGCAGACAACAATATTCTTTTTAACTGCTTCCTCCCAACTCGAATTTGCACTACTAAAACAAAAGAATTAAGGAAGACGCTAAAAAAATTTGTACTTCCAATACAAAAGAACACACTAGCAAAAGATTCATCTATCTCCATAACATACAACAAGATTCTATGTAATTGCTTCCTCCCAACTTGAATTTGCATTTTCAAGACAAGGAATCTCGTTGTATGATATGAAGATGGATGAAACTAAAGCTGAAGACATCTTCTAATTGAAGAAAACTAAGACACCAACATTATTTGACTGATTCATGAATTAGGTTACTGATATAAGGGGCGAACAACATTTAAAAACACTTTATTAATAATTGTCTCACGTTGGATGTCGAGAGCAAAACTTGAAGAAACTGGTCATAAGGACTAAATGTGTACAAACTGAAAATTATATGACCCTATTAAGTTATTTTTTTCGGTTTAACTTGTAGTAACTGGTTATAAGGACCGAATATAAGAAAAAAAAACAAATTAAATAGTCAAATATGAAAAAAAAATATAGAAATTCCATGATAAGATATGTAAAAAATAAAAAAATACATTATCTGATTAAGTCATTATCACTAGTATATATATATATATATATATATATATATATATATATATATATATATATATATATATATATATATATATTGTAGATGTTATTTAAAACTTATATAGTTTTAAAACATAACCCACATATTTATTAGTTTATGCTTACAATAAACTAAAAGAGAAATTAAATATCTTCCTACTTCTTGTGTATATTATCTTCCTATCTATTTTAGATGGTGACAAGTATCATTTAATTTAATTTAATTTAAATTTGATTGGATTGTTAAATTTATACACTTGTCATCATCTTAAATAGATAAGAAAAAAATAAAAATAAAAGGTATAAGAATATTTAATTTCTCTAACTAAAATTAATGAAGTTCCAAGTTATTGGACCCATTTATCTTAATATATCTCATATTAATAAATAGTATAAAACTATAATTAGGTATTATTTTATTGGATCCATATCAAATTTGATGTAATATAATATTAAGTTGGAACAACTTTAATACTCTATTTGCTATTTTTTTAAATCGGCATATATAAAAAATATTAACTATAAAATATATTAATATAATCAAAAATAAAATAAATTTATTATGAAGATTATTAATATATTTTATATTTAATTATTATAATATTTCTTATAATTAATATAATTAAATGTCATAATTTAAGAGTACATGTTATAGTTTTAACATTTAATTAAGGAAGTAAATACTTTAGAACATCTCCAACCTATTTTCATTTTTCTCTAAAAAATGGAATAAAAAATAAGATAAATAGTGTTTCATCTTCAACCCTATTTCATTTCTTATCCTATTTTTACCTTTAAAAGATATATCGTTATTATATTCCAATCTTTCAACTTATATAAATTATCATACACATCCCTTATACTAATTTGGTTTTAACAAATATATAATATATATATATATATTTTTTCATTATAATAATATTAAATAATAAGATTATATTTAAAATACTTAATTATAAATTGTTGTAAAATACATCATCGTGTTTTAAAATTTCAATATGTATTTAAAGTTTTATATGAATTTGATAAATAAAGAACAAACTTTATATTTATAATTAATTAATATAGTTTATTATATAACACAATATTCTAATTATTAAATATTACATTTACTTATTATTAGTAGATAAAAATAAACTAAAGATGTATAAGCATATAAAAAAAATAACTAAAACCGATAACTCAAAATTTATCTTTATTTGGAGGAAATAATAATATAACACCATATTTTGTTGTTATATTATTCATTTTTTTCAAAATGGACGAATAAATGAAATAGGATTAGAGAGAAATAAAGGAAGAAACGAAAGAAATAATGTAAAAGATGAGTGAGTTAGAGATGCTTTTAATGGTTAAATTAAGAGACTAATTAAAATAGCTTATGCTTTTCTAGATTTTGCCCAAAATCTTAACACTTATTAGCATAAGAAACAACATTAAATATCAATTTAGCATTCTATAACTAGTGATCACCATATACAATATTTAGCACAATAAACCATACCAAAATTTCTTAGTGGTTTAATCTCAAAAAAATAGAGTTAACATAACATAACAAGTTAGCATTTTGTTTGACGTCCCCTCCAACACATATTCATACTATTGCAAATATCCATGTCAATATCATTATGCCATTTCTAGCATATTAAATTAGAAACGAAAGTACAACTTGTTATGCGATCAGTACAAGCTAACCCAAAAATTCAAAAAAAAAAAAAAAAAAAAGAAGCGATCACGAACCTGCACCAAGAAGAACGACCTGAGCTCCGCCGCCAAACGACTCAACAGCCGCCTCGAGCTTGGATTCAAACCATAAAGTCCGAACAGCAAGAATCACCCCAGAAACTTCTCTCGCATTACTCATCCGGTCATTCTTAATCTTCTCATAAAGATTGGTCAAATACGTTTCTCCGGCGAACAACTCCGCCAGCTGATCATTCACAACATGCTTCCAAAGCGCCCTTCCGGCCGCCGTCTGACAAGCCGATCGTTTAACCGAGTCCCAATCACTCTCAATCGTTGCATGAAGCTCCCGGAGAGCTTCACTGTACAACAACTCCGGCCGCGGCCAGTTTTGGTGGTCGGGAAGTCTGCCATTTTGTTCGTACGCCATGTTTATGGCAGTTGGGTTTTGAAAGAGTAAATAGAGGGAGATAGAGAAGAAGAAGGGTAATGTTGGAAATATATATATATATAATTTATAGCTAAGGGATAAGGGAAAAAGAGATAGCCACACAATACACTTGAAATTTGAAATGAAACCAAATGGTTAAATCGTATCCATGTTGTTTGCATAGGGTCGTGAAGTAGTCCACGAAGGCCACCCATTTTTGCTATACCTTTTGGTATTCTTCAACTCTCTGAAAAAAGTAAGCTTCAAATCAATGGAGCCCATAAGAGTGAGATTATTTAGAGGTTACAAGTGTTGATGCGTCAAGTACAAGTGGTGTAGAAAGATCTTGAGAGACGTCATGTTTTGAGTAAATGGAAGTGATGTGTTGGGGTGTGGTTTGGTCGTTTGTTTTGTTTTGGGAATAGGAATAGGAATGGTTGGTGGTGGTGATAATGGTGTAAAGACACGCTGTCTTGATGTTGTTGGAGTAGAATGTGGTTTTCAGGTTGTTAGGAATTAGGATGCTATGGACTACTTCAACAATTAGTAGTGGATAGGAATTGTAAATAAACAATAGCCTAGCAACTATTTAGCTATCGATATACATTTTAGTCGTTGGATATTTTAATGTACTAAAATATCAAGTCGAAGAGACAATCCAACAACATAACATATCATACAATGGAAGTGAACGTTTTATAGGGAAAAATTAAAAATGTGTAGTAATTGTATAAATCAACTACAAAACATATTTAACTTTTGATAACCATATATATAACATATTTCAATCATCATCTTCTTCCTATAACAATACCTGTCCGGGGTCGGGTTAATGATGGTTGCTATTTTTTTGTTTATTTGGTATTGGTTTGGGAGTTCATGTATATGTTTTAAAGTAAGTTGATATTTATTATATGTAACATTATAAATAATTAAGTAACAATTTCACATGTAAAATCAAATATTACTTTTTGATGGGACATTAGACATCTCTCAAATATCTATCCCATAAACTATTAGGTTTTTTTTAGGTTTCTCGGTGTGGTATGCGGTTTGGAGCCGCGGTTGCGCCACGTGGGACAGGAACATCACCCCCAGGGTGCGGTTTGGGGCAGTCGAGACCGCACTGCGGCCTTTGAAGACCGTGCTTGCTGATTGGTTATTCCTTTTTCTTTTGATCGTTCAAAGATTCGTGTAATTTAATTTTTTTTTTTAAACCTTTTACTCCATCTATATATACATATGTTATCACTTTTACATTTACACAACCTTTAAACACATATAAATACAATCATTTCATCCAATTTTTTTTTGAAAAAATGTCTTCTTCCAAAAGACCTAGCAAAGAAAAAAACACCAGTCAGAAAGACCAACACCCCAATACCTTCATTTGATCAAACGATTTTCTCACTTCCGTATTACCACTATGGCGGTATATTTCCTTCTTTTCCACAACGACCAGGGCAACCACATCCACAAACACCACCACTACCACAACCCGACCCGTATTTTAATCCATTTGATTTTTTGTCCCAACCCGAGTTTGTTCAATAAACACAAACACAACCTGAACCGGAATTCGTTACAGAAACTCAGCCCACTCGAGCAGCGACTAAAAGAAAAGAGAAGGCGGAGGCTAGATGTTGGGAACCTTTGGAAGCGTTAGTGTTGGCACAATCTTGGATCAATATTTCAGAAGATGCGGCGGTTGGAAAAGACCAAAAGCATGACCGCTTTTGGATTCGCGTTTTACACAGGTTCCATAAAGGAATGAACCGTGGAGAATACCGTTCAAAACATCAAGTGTACTCCAAATGGGGGAAGATGAACAAGGAAGTCATGTTGTTTAATGACTTGTGGAACAGCATGAAACATCAATGGAAAAGTGGAGAAAGCGATGAAGTCATTTTGAAGAAAGTGTTGAAAGTGTATCAAAAAGAAAATCTGAAGGCTTTCAAATTTCTTGAAGTTTGTAATTTTTTGAAAGATAACAGGAAATGGCTGAGTAGCAAAACATCTGACCAACATATCGACAGTGTGTCAAAACGCAGCAGAACATCTGAGTCCGACCACTACATCAGATGCTCGTGTTCAGTTTGATCTGAACGAAGATGAACCTGTTCCAGTTTCACCTTCCCGACCATTGGGAAGAGACAAATCAAAAAACAAGGCAAAGGCAAAGCGTCAGATTCAGATGATTTGAAAGAAATGGGAACCAACATGAAGGATATAAAAGAGAGAATGGACAAGATTTTGAAAATTGCTTCTGAAAGAGAGTTTCAGAAACAAGGGAGAGCGACATGCGAATACTAGCAATGGACACGTCGAATATG